GATAAAAATTGCATGAAAGAAAAGAAAAAAAGGAAATAATAAGGCTTAAAATCAAAATAGTGAGGTACCTTTGCAGTGACACACTTCATTACATGCGGTTTTCGGGTTTTTTTTTTTAGATTTATTTTATTTATTTGGGAGAGAGAGCACATAGGCTGCGGGGGAGAGGGTGGGGAGGGGCAGAAGGAGAGAGAGAGAAGCAGACTCCCTGCTGAGCGGGGAGCCTAGGGGGGGCTCTATCTCACAAACTTGAGATCATGACCTGAGCTGAAACCAAGAGTCAGACGCTCCACTGACTGAGCCACTCAGGTGCCCCCATTACCTGTGTTGATTTGATATTCTTACCAAAGCTATGAAAAGATAAAGCTGATCTCATTGCCTCTCTTTTGCGGATGAAGAACTCGGATAGAAGAACGATTTGCCCAAGGTTACCTGCCTTGCAGAAGGAGCCCCATACTTTGTTTTCCCTCCAGTCTAGTGTTTTCTCAAATATACCACTTTGCTTTTTAACTAAATAATGGTTTTCCACCACTGCATCCTAATGAAGAATTCTGCCACAGGTATTGGCTTCTTAGAATCACTGTTTGTACAGGCGGTCTCTCCTTTTGCCAGTGGGAAAACACAAATGGGAGAAAAACAACCTTCTATTTCTTCAATGGCCTCTAACAAACCAGCTACACCTGAGGGCGATTCATTTTTTCATTTGGTGAAGATTGCAAGTTTGTTGAAAATCTTGTCACTTCTTTCGATGAGGAAGCAATGTGTGCTAAGTAGGCAGTAGTTTTTAAGTAAAAACGTGTAATTCATTTTAGGCAGGACCAGATTCTGCCCTATTCTTTGATTAATCCCTAGGATCTAGCATACTGCCTGGTATGTGTTAGATCGTAAACATATATATATTTATATACAAGGAGGGAAGGAGCTAAGAAGAAAGGGAGTCTAGTGCTGATATCTTCTACAAAATATTATTCTTTAACAATAACTGTCATTGGCTTATTTTTATTTTGACAGATGAAATTTTAATCATCCCCAAACATCCGCAATAACTGACCCACGTGAGATTAGATCAGTCTTCAAAGGTTCTTTGTTCTTTTATCTCTCTCCAAATACTCCTTTTATATTTTGAAATATGGGTTCTAATCTAAAAGGCTAAGAGTTTTTATTTTGGGGGAAATGGTGCCATTAGGATCAGTAGGGGAGAATGATTGTGGTTTAAAAATAATTCTTTAAACAAACTGGCGTAAATCGTGCTGCTTCTTTCACAAATATGCCTATTCTTTGTAGAGACTAACATAAAAATGTTTTCTTTTGCTATAAAAATAATATCAAGTTGAAATAAATATAATTATATATAATGTATGACAAATTTATATAACAATATAAACATATAAAGAAATATATACAGATATATATAAATTCTTTCTCCCCACCCACATATGTGTCCACATTCTTTAAATAAATTGACTATAGAGGGAGAATTTATTAGGCAGTCCCGATTTCAAATATTCTAAAGCTTTATTCACTTGATATATATCATACCATTCATGCAAGTCTTGAGTCTAGGAGAAAAGTGGCGTCAATGCCTACAGCTAATAGAAATAACGGGATCCTACAGGATAATAAGGAAATTCATTTGCATATATCAGTCAGCTGAGACTAAGTTATACTACAGTACAAAAAATGACCCCAAATCACGGTGACTTATGAAAGCAAAGGTTTCTTTCTCACTGTATTTGTGTGATCGACTGAGGCTCTGCTTCATGGCTTTTATTTTGGTGTCTAGGCTGACAGAACAGCTCCTGCCTGGGACATTCAAAGGAAAAAGAGAAGGTGGCAGAGGAGGCTGGAGTCCCGGAAGCTTCTGCTCAGAAGTGCTCTGCTCAGAGTTCATTGGTCTAAACAAGTCACATGGACAAAACTGACATCAAATGGGTGGAAAGTCTAATTCTTCCACAGGGAGGAGCCCTCCCAAGGGATAGGAGGTCTAGGGAGAGGAATGGTAACTATACTGCATTTATTATGTTGTGCAGTGATACCCTCTGGTACGTCCTCCCAGCTAGAGTTTACGAAGTCATCTTTTTGTCTGCCACTTGCCTCATTCAATGAACACTCAAGTTGTTTTGATTTCATACATTTCTCAAATCTAATCTCACCTCTGTAACGCACCTACCAGTCCGTTGTTCAGTTTCTCAGTATTTATACAGGTCTTCCAATCATAGATTAATTCCATATATAGCCACCACTGTGAAGTATGCAGCGTGCACAGATCTAAAATGTCATTTTTCTCTACCCACCCCCCTGGCAAATAAATAAATAAAATCTTTTAAAGCGGGGGGCGGGGGGCGCCTGGGTGGCTCAGATGGTTAAGCATTTGCCTTCAGCTCAGGTCATGATCTCAGGGTCCTGGGATCGAGTCCCACATCCAGCTCCTTGCTTGGCAAGGAGCCTGCCTCTCCCTCTGCCTGACACTTCCCCTGCTTGTACTCTCCCCCTCTCTCTCTCTGGCAAATAAATAAATAAATAAATAAAATGTCATTTTTCTGGGGCACGTGGTTGGCTCAGTAGAGCTTGTGGCTCTTGATCGTGGAGTCATGAGTTCAAGCCTCATATTGAACATAGAGCTTACTTAAATCAACTGGAATTAGTAAAAGCTTTTAAAAAAAATCAATGTTATAAAAATAGGTCATTTATTTTCACAAATACAATTGTATGGTAAATAGAACATATGAAACCAGAGGTAAAAATAAGTCTAATTATATTTTTAAAAGTCCAATTATAATAGCAATACAGTAGACCTAAATGTATTAAGTTTACTTGGATAAAAAGCCAGATTTCCATTTTGCCTATCACACACACACACACACACACACACACACACACACACACACAGAACTCTACCACTTTTTTTCCAAAACAGATACATTTTCAACAACACCAAAAAAAAAAACCAAGCCAAAAAAAGAGGGAAAGAAAGAAAGAAAGAAAGAAAGAAAGAAAGAAAGAAAGAAAGAAAGAAACTAATAGAAATTTGGAAATGGTGGATAATACACACCAAATGAAAGCCACGATAGCAATTTAATATCAGTTGCTACTTTATTCTATTTAGTAGTAAAATTGTAGGTACTTTTGTTTCCTATATTTTTTATTTGTTATTTATTGTGGCAATTAAAAATATCCTTTTTTGTCTCTTAGTCATATAAATTTGTAAATCAGTAGTAGTACTAAAATAAATTAGCAACTGGTGGGATTTTAAGAACATAAGTGAATCTACATTAGTATGTAAGAATTTTTAAAAAATTTCTCTCATACTTATTTAGATATTTCTTCTTTTCTAAAGCAGGCATGTAGAACTATAAATTTCCCTCTCAACACTGTTTTAACTACTCCCCACATGCTTTGATGTGCTGTATTTTTATTTTCATTCCATTCGGTATATTTTCTTATTTACCTTGAAAGTTCCTCTTTGACCCATGGATTATTTAAAAGTATGTGGTTTAGTTTCCACATGTTTGGTGGTTTTCTTTCCTTTCTGTTATCAATTTCTAGTTTGATTCCACTGCGGCAGAAAACACACTTTGTATGATTTCATTTCTTTTAAATGTTTTGAAACTTGTTTTATGGCCCATGATACGATCCCTCTAACAGTATTTTCTGTGGACACTTGAATATATTCCCCTCTGGATGAATGGAGTGTGAATAGTGTTTGTTGATGGTGTTGTTCAGTTTTATTGTTTTTCTGATTTTCTGTCTGGTTCTCCCAATTGTTGGGAGAGCAATATTGGAAGTTTCTAACTGTGAATTTGTCTGTTTCTCCCTTCATTTCTGTTATTTTTTCCTTCACAGATTTTGAAGCTCTGTTGTTTGATGCAAACACATTTAGGATTAATATTTTTTTTGTAGATTGATATTTTTATCATTATGTAATATACCTCTTTTTAAAAAATCTGTTTGTTTTTACTTAAAAATTCAATTAACATATAATGTATTATTGGTTTCAGAGGTAGAGGTCAGTGATTCATCAGTCTTATTTAATACCAAGTACTCATTACATCACGTGCCCTCCTTAATGTCCATCACCCGGTTAACCCATCCCCCCACCTCTCTCCCCTCCAGCAACCCTCAGTTTGTTTCCTATGCTTAAGAGTCCCTTATGGTTTGTCTCCCTCTGATTTCATCTTGTTTTATTTTTTCCTCTCTTCCCCTATGATCCTATCATTATATAATATACCTCTTACTACATGGTAATTTTTATTGCTTTGAAATCTAATTTAGTTGGTATTAATACAGCTATTTCTGCTTTCTTTCAATTTTTTTTTAAGATTATTTTTAAGTAATCTCTACCCAATGCAGGGCTCATACACAACGCCAAGATCCAGAATTGCATGCTCCATCAACTGAGCCAGCCAGGTGCCCCTACTTTCTTTTACTGTTTATAAGATTTATCTTTTTCCATTCATTTACTTTTAACCTACTTGTATCATTATACTGGAAGTAAGCTTCTTATAGAGTGCATATACTTGCACCATGTTTTTTTTAATCTACTCTGCTTTTTTGTATCTTATAATTGGTGTATCTTACATTTACATTTAATGTTATTGATATGTTGGGGCTTAAAGTCCACCATTTGAAATTTTCTTTTCTTCTCCCTGTTTTTCACTTCTGTCTTTTTTCCTTTCCTTCCTATGGATTGCTTAAACATTTTTTTTTAAATTCCATTTTGATTCATTTAGAGTTCCTTCGGTTCATATCTTTTTTTAAAGACTTTATTTACTTGACGCAGAGAGAGGGAGTACAAGTAGGGGGAGCAGCAGAGGGAGAGGGAGAAGCAGGCTCCCCGCTGAGCAAGAAGCCCATGTGGGCCTCAATCCCAAGACCCTGGGATCCTGACCTGAGCCAAAGGCAGACACTTAACCAACTGAGCCACCCAGGCGCCCGGGTTCATATCTTTATATAACTTTTTTAATGGTTGCTGTAGATACTACATTATATATATATATATATCTTTCACGACGCTCTTCCGATCTCTAGAGTTCCACTGTCAACTAGTTACTGGTGTTGAAATTTTATCAGCTTGAGTGAAATGTAAAAACCTTACCTCCCCTTTGTGTCCCTTTAATTTCCACCTTTTATAATTGTCATAAAAATTTCCTATTCACAAATATCGAATCTTTTGTGACGGTCCCACAGGTTGCTAGAGCTCTGTTCTTTTTATTTTTTCTGTCCATATTCTTTCTGTTTTCCAGAAACAGACTTTTCAAAGTTTTCTTTTGTTTATCTTCTATATAATTTCTGAGGTTTTTAGTTGTACTTCGTAGGAGAAATAGAAGTTTATCTACTCTGTCTTCTTAGAAGCATAAGCTTACCCTATTTTTGGCCGTTATTATTGTGATTACTTTAATAAATGATACATAAATTAATAGAACATTGTGTGTGTCGGGGCAATAAATGGATCTATAAAAACTAACGTTGTTTGAAATAATAGCTATCACATTAGGTATGGATGAGAAACTATTAAATGTATTGATGGTTTCTGCATTGAGATCATGTTCTAAGTGTTTCTAGAGTTCTCACTCTGCCCTATGGAAACCAAAACTGAAATTACAGAAGTTGAATTACTGATAGGGCTCATAAAAGGTAGATGGCATAGATGAGTTGACTTATGCTTCTTCTCTTCTCCAAAATGCCATAACTATACATCAAAAGACTGACAAATTAAAGTGCATTTACATGCAAAGTTCAGCTAAAATATAATCTTTATTTATTTTTTTAATACTCTAACTTTTTAAATCTTGATTGGGAAGAACAAGTGAGATAAGAATTCTTTATATGCTGCTCAAATTTGATTTCCCACTTTTAAATGTATCCCTTTCAATTAGCTGGACTGAAAAAGTTAAGTTGTCCCTTAGAAAATTTTAGCTTTTTCCTACAAAATTTAGATTTTTCCTTCCTACTGGACTGCACTATATTTATTGCTTTTCTTACAAGACTTAGATCATTATCGACTGAACTGTAAATGGTTTTGACAGGTAACTGAGAAAAATCCACCCAAAGAGCAATTTTAACTTAATATGAATGTATTTGTAACTTACCTTTTAAAATATTCCTTTTATGAGATCTGATCCTTATGTTGCACAGGGGTGCACGCACACACGCACGCACGCACGCATGCACACACACATGCACACACACGAATATGTATCATAAAACAAAGCTAGCTATATCCTTGCACCTGCAACTTCTGGGTGGTAATAACTTGAATTACATTGAAACCCATGTGATGGAGATATTAATTTCTCTACTTTCTTTGGACAGTGGAACAGATGCTGTTTTAAACTTCAAAGGACCTTGACTACTTTCTGCATTTCATTAATGAACAACTTTTCACAGCTTGGCTAAAAAAAAAAAAAAAAAAAAAAAACTAAAAAAAAAAAAAAAAGAAAAAAACCAAAGAGGAATCCATCAGTCTTTTCCTTCTGAAATGTTTTTTAGGGATAGAGAGGAAGTCAAACTCAAAACATTTGATCTTTCCCAGGAAACTGGACTGTACTGTATTTATTGCTTTTCAAATCTGACAGTTCGTCCTGTGGCCTCACATCATGGTAAGGCACCCAAATGTATGAGGAGAAGATGCGCTTGGGGAGATAATTTGTTAAAGAGTTTGATAAAAAAAAGAAAACCCAATTGGTGATAAATGTTTCTTTTTTTTTTTTTTCCTGTACTATCTTATCTAATTCTGGCTGTTGAGGTTAGCTCAGGTAATGCTTACAGTTTGAAGAGAGTGGACAAAGAAAAGAATAAAAACTCAATAGTTTTGAATATTCTGATAGAGTATAGGTTCTGAAGAGTAGAAAGTAGGTTGATTACCGTTCTAACCAAAAAAATTAAGAAAATTAGAAATTCTAAATTTCAATAACATTGCCTGATATATTACAGAGGATTTTTTTTTATACCAAGAGATTACTTATTTGTTAGTTTTGTACCCAGAGTTACAAATTTCTTCAAGAGAAGCAGATGAAAGTTTGGGTTCTAAGTTTACCAGACACAGATTGGAATACCAGCTCCAGCATTTAATAGCTGTGTCATCTTGAGCAAGGAACTTGACATTACCAACCTTTTGTTTTTGTAAAACTGTTATGGTGATAATGGCCTATAATCTCTTAATCAAAACTCGGGATCAGCTGTGTTTGGAATTTAGAAGTAAAATATATAGTTTTTATGTATAAACTTAAAAAAATAATTTATTTATTTATTTGACAGAGAGAGAGAGAGCACAAGCAGGGGGAGCGGCAGAGGGAGAGGGAGAAGCAGTCTCCCAGCTGAGCAGGGAACCCCTACAGGGGGCTTGATCCCAGGACCCCGAGATCATGACCTGAGCTGAAGGCAGACACTTAACTGCCTGAGCCACCCAGGTGCCCCTTTATGTAGAAACTTTTATTGAGGAAGTGGTTCAATATAATTTGGATATTCATTGGACTCCTAGTTAGGCATTTTTCATACTCCATGAGTAATACAAAAATGGATAAAACTATCCTCTCTGTTTAGCAGCTTATAATTCTGTATAACAAATGCAGATGACTAGAATGCATTATTAAGTTCCTTATAGAGTCTATGGAAGCTCAGAGGGAGAAAATGAATTCTGATGGAATGGGGTGATTCAAGAAAAATTATAAAAAGAGGTTGTATTTGGACTTATTCTTCAATTTCATTAATTTTTCATTAAATATTTTACTACTCTAGTTCATTTTGTGTATGTGTGTGTGGTTTCCTTCTCTTTTGTGAAAACTGCTACACTACTCGCTCACATCATTACAGATTCAAATCCTGTGTAAATAGCACTCAAGTACTTTTATCAGCTAGGTCCAGCTTCAGTCTAAAACCCTAAGCACCATGGTCAGTTGTTACAGGTGTTCCTTAATTAACTTCCTAGTAATGAAACATGTTTTTCTTTTTGTAATGGCCTTTCGAACATAGCTTTATTAAGGTATTTTATTTTTATCTTTTTATTAATATGATTTATATATTATATACATTGATCTGTTTTATGTGCACAATGCAATGATTTTTTTTTCAGATTTTATTTTTAAGTAATCTCTGCACCCAACGTGGTGCTCAAACTTAAAACCCCAAGATCAGTAGTCGCATGCTCCACTGGCTGAGCCAGCCAGGCATACCCAATTCAGTAATTTTTTAAGGAAATTGATGGAATTGTACAACTGTCCTCACAATTCAGTTATAAAACATTTCCATCATCCTAAAAAGATACAATTTAGAAGTTTTGGGGTATGCCTGGGTGGCTCAGTGCATTAAGAGGCTGCCTTCGGCTTGAGTCATAATCCCAGGGTCCTGGGATCGAGCCCCGCGTTGGGCTCCCTGCTCAGCAGGGAGCCTGCTTCTCCCTCTCCCTCTGCCTGCCACTCCTACTTGTGCTCTCTCTTTCTATCTCTGTCAAATAAATTTAAAAAAAAGAAGAAGTTTAGAATAATAAAAGGCAATGCAGTGCAAACACTATATATTATCTAACAACCTAATAATGTATGTTAACATTCTCAGGGGATTTGAGACAGCACTCCATTAAAAAAAAAACAAAACATTAAATATAGTGAATCATACTCATGTTCACACTAAATGGAGTAAAGCTTATTCATAGCTTTATGTCAACTCAAGTCATATTTTTGCCTCTAAAGGAGTTCAAGTCAAGTCATCCAATGAATAATGAAACACTTTCAGTGTTCAGAGTTTCTCTCATTTTGGAATTGCAGGTAAGGTATTGCGGACTGAAAACACTCACCTTATAGGATCACTGTAAGAAATAAAGAACAAAGGTAGTAAGGTGCTTAGCACAGCACAGAATACATAGCGAACTCAGTCTGTATGTGTGTGTATGTTGGTAGTTAATTAAAGCACTCTATTAGAGGCCATGTGGTACAGTGTAAAATGCACTGTTTGTGTGGCCAGGAGACTTGGTTCCTAGACCCTCTGTTTTGTTAACTGGTGTGAGATGTTGGGTAAGGGTGGGAACTGACCTTTAATACTTCTGATGAATCAGGCACTGTTCTTAGCACTTTACATATGCTAACTAACAAATTTTTATATCAACCTTTATCTTATAGATATCATCGTCATCTCCCACTTTATAGATAAGAAAAGGACAGAATGTTCAAACAACTTACCTAAAATCACAGAGCAAGCAAGCAGTGGAAGCGATATTCAAACCCAGGCATTCCATCTCTAGAGCCTGTTCTTTGAAACACCATGCTTTATTTCCTAAATACCATGAATAGCGCTAATGCTCTCTGAGCTCTGCTTTTCTAATTTTTGAAATAAAGGGAAGTTGGGGTGGCTGGCTGGCTCAGGTGGTAGAACACCTGACTTTTGATTTCAGGGTCATGAGTTCAAGCCCCATGTTGGGCCTAGAGCTTACTTTAAAAATAAATAAATGAAATGAAATAAAATGAAATGAAATGAAATAGAGAACAAAACCACATATTTTAATTTACATGATGTTATAAACTCAGAATTTGGGAGCCCCAAAGTATCTTTGTAGTTATATAGTCAAATTAGCACTTTGTAGCTAAAGAAACTAAATTCTAGAGATTAAGCAACATACCCAAGGTCACATAATTAGTGACAGACCTAAAACCTGGTCTTCTGGTTCCTCAAGAGGCAATCCTTAGTGAATGCCAAACAAGATATGTAATAACAATACATGTATTAATATAGTCAGACATACCCCAAATTGCATATTTACAGAATAAGTAACACATTAAACTTTAATTATTTTTATCTATTTTTTTAAATGATTTATTTATTTGTCAGAGAGAGAGAGAGCACAAGCAGGGGGAATGGCAGGCAGAGGGTGAAGCAGTCTCCCCACTGAGCAGGGAGCCTGACGCAGGACTCGATCCCAGGACCCTGGGATCTTGACCTGAGCCGAAGGCAGACACTTAACCAACCGAGCCACCCAGGCATCCCTTTAATTATTTTTAATTTCTAGTAAGCATTTTCCTTTTCTTTGATCAAGATG